TCCCATCTCAGAACCCCTCTAGAATATTGGCTCCCAAGGACAAAGGCTTTTTTCTTTTGTATTCACTGCTTAATTCCCCTTGCCTAGGATACTTCCTGGCACAAAATAGACCCTTGGACTGTGTTGTGAGTGAGTGGGTGAGTGCTTGAAATGAAAGAAAACCAACTGGAAGAAGTTTCTTTGATGCTAGTGACTACTTTCGTTGCTTTCTATCTTTGTTATGGCAGACATGCTACCTCAGCTACAAAGAATTCTCTGTTACGTGAGATCCAAAACTTGTAGTGTTGTTACATTAAGTGCTTAAAGGCAAATCATGTGAAAAGTGACAAAAATAGACTGAGAAGGCAATTGAGATAGTAAAACCTCAAACATATTTAAAGCCCTGAGGGGTCTAGGGGTTCAGCTCAGCAGTAGAGTGAACTCACCTAGCATGCACAAGGCCCTGAGTTCCAGCCCTACCACCAAAAGGAAGAAGAAAAGAAAAACAGAGGTAAAGAGAGAAGGCAAGCCCGCCAACCAGCTTGCAATTACAGACATGAAAAGCCAGCCTTAGCAAAGTATGTTGCYGGAGCAATAGGAGGGTTAGTGATATGTGGCTGACCCAAATGAAGGTCACAAATGTGTTGAAGGAAAGATTGATCAGAAATGACTTACCTTTTCTTAACTGACCCCGCTTTTGAATTGTGTGTGCATGCATCACTTACCACTGTCTCTTTGAGTATATCTTTTTTTTTTTTTTTTAGTTGTCAATGGACCTTTATTTTATTTATTGATATGTGGTGCTGAGAATCTAACCCAGTGCCTCATACTTGCTAGGCAAGCACTCGGCCACTGAGTCACAACCCCAGCCCCTTCTGAGTACATCTAATGAAGATATAAAAAAAAAAAATATATATATATATATATATTTTAATATTTATTTTTTAGTTATTGGCGGACACAACATCTTTGTTTATATGTGGTGCTGAGGATCGAACCCGGGCTGCACGCATACCAGGCAAGCGCGCTACCACTTGAGCCACATCCCCAGCCCATGAAGATATATTTTGATGTCTATGTTCACAATATGAGTAGTCTGATATGTATTTGGCAGGTGACTTACTAAGATCAGAAAATAGCCACTGATACATAGTATATTACCATGGATTCCTGTCATATTTGAACAGTGACCTTATTGCTGTTCACATTTAAAAGAGTAAAACGTACTATAGAAACCAGTTTTAGGGTTAGCACATAAGTGTTATTTGGTTACATTATACTGGTTGTTCCAAATACTTCRCCTCAGACTAGCATATACTTATGCAGCAAAATTGTCAGTGGACCTTGGGTTACCACTAGCATCTATATGTTCTGAGAGAGCAGTGAAAATAGTATGCTAACCAAGGTCAAAGCCTGAACCTCCATTTTCTTTTTGACTATTATAATTATTGCACAAATGATAGCCTTTGATGATTCTCTGTTAGTTTGATCCTTTGGGGAATAAGGATTGTCTGGCCTCAGCACTGACAAATATGTTAGTAATACAAATTCTGCTGGTGCCTTTGGAAGGTGACTAGGTTAGATGAGGTCACAGAGTTAGAGCACTTTTAGTTATAGGTTAGTGCTGTTGTAACAGGAAGAGATACCGAAGCTGCTTCTCCTTTGTATGTGAAGATACGGGAAGAAGTCAACTGTTCAGGCCAGGAAATAGGTCCTCAGCATATCTGCCAGCATCTTGATTTCTGACTTCTCAGCCTCCAGAATTGTGAGAAATAAATATCTGTTGTTTAAGCCACCAGTCTGTGTTATTTTTTATAGTAGCCCAAGTATACTAAAGCAAATAGTCTTCATGTTTTTCCCCAGCTAACCAATTTCAGTGGGTTTCTGATCAGCCAGTATCCAGCAAATAATACATTTTGACTTAATGTCATAGTCCTGTTGAATTTATCTTCTCTTAATGATCCCAGATTTTTTTTTACCATGAATCACTGTTCTCAGAGGATATGTTCTCACTGATCCATTTCCATTTTTGCACAGCCTAGTCAACCATCCCCAGAGGACATTAAGATCATGTTCCAAAGAAGTCTTTTTAGGGAGCTGTGTAGATAGTTGTTGATTTAGGAGGGGTGGGTGTGTGTGTGTGTGTGTGTGTGTGTGTGTGTGTGTGTGTGTGTTTCCCCCGAACATGTACTGTTCTCTTATTTGGTTTTGGTACTTCTGTGTGAATGTGTCTAAATTGCTTATGCATAATCACATATTTTTTAATGGCCTGTATCAATGAAATTTCCCTTGACCATCATTTGGGGATAGCAGATGGTTCAATTCTCTTGCTTTTCATTCTCCTCTTCTTATTGCTTAGTGAGCTAGCTATTGCTTATGTTCTTTCTTGTTAGCTCTGTTATTATAAAATAGATGACTCTTRATTTTTAATTATAGGTATGTCAAATACAGTTTCAGGTGTTTAAATACAGTTTTATTAGTTGTTGATTCAGCCTTTACTATATGGCAGCCATTACTGTTTGCTTTACCTAGACTATCTATTTAATCTTCCCAACAGCCCTAAGATACAGATGTTATCATCCCCATTTATGAATGAAACAGATTAATTGAAGCTAAATAATCTGACCAAAGTCACATAACATTGCTAGAATGACAATTATCTCCAAATCTCCTGTTTCAACAGCTATTTTATACTGTCCTTCATTTACAACATCTTGGAAATGAAGGAACTGAGTCTTAATGAATTAAGTTATTGAAGTACACACAGTTGATTTTATAGAGCAGAGATTTAGACCCTGATTTTGTTGACTCAGAATTCAGTAGTCTTTCAGTTTTAATGTTCTAAACACTTGTTGTAGCTTACTTAACTGACTTATTAATTAAAGTGTTTCCACAAAATCTGTTTTATTGTATGCTCAAAGCTGTTCTCCCTGTTGGACACAGGTACTATACTTCCTTTGTTTTTGATATTGAAACTGAAAGTTGGATTAAAAGAATTGCCTTTGTGTATATAGCAAGTGAGCAAATCTTTTGATTCTTAACCTAATTCTTTCAACATAGCTTCCCTACTCCTAAGGGGTTAAAAGAATTGATGAGAGATCATTCTTTACCATGAATTTAAAGCACAACTCCCATGACTTCCTTGCCTCATTTGATTTCTGTTTCTGTCACCCAAATCATCACAAGTTATATTTATTTCATTTTTTTGACTGATTGAGGGGCATTTCCTCTGGTCCCTCTCACCATATGGTGTGACATGGGTTTTCTTTTTGCCCACGTTTCTCCCACTTTCTGCACAGTAACTCCATAATGCAGAAAGCATCTCATTCGGKTTGATAGATTATGGCCCAGAGCATTTTTATCTGTCAGTTATATACCTAATTTACTTGATGTTAGTGAACATGACAAGAAGATGGAGAGGACATTATGTTGTTTTTTTTAACTTTTGAGTTCCTATATAGCAGTAAATTGGATATAAGTAAATTTTTAGAACCCTTAGTTTGTTCTAGAACCTAAGTCACATTGGTACTCTATTATATACCAGTCTGTTTATGGATGTACTTTATGATACATCCCATTTTCTTTGGCATTTCTTAGTTAATGTATTATCATGTATTTTCGGTCTTGTATTTTAGAAGATGAAGTCCACTTTGGCTTTTGCTTTGGAAAACTGTTTCTTTTGTATGGCATTTCTCAAAGGTTGATGAACTCCTGAGCCTGCTTATGGGACTATGGAGTAAGCCTATGAAATGAACTATACTTGCTTGTATTTCTTTGGCTTAAATTTTATATTAGCTTTACTATAGTTGTCTAAAAAACTTATTTGCTGATGTTCCCCTCTTTCTAAGTTAATGTTTCCTATTGAAAGAGGAACCTGGTGCCTCAGTTGATTAGAACTAGATATATTAAATAATCTTCCATTTGCAATAGGGAACATATGGGAGGGTGGTCCGTCAGTCCGGCACAACTACACCATAGCATCGTGCCCTCCATTCTCAAGAAGTTCTCTAACTATTTAGCCTCAATCAGCTATCCAAGTCCATTCTGTTTGAAAATATTAACTATTTTGTGAATAGAAATAGAGTGTCTCTTCTTTTTCACCATTTTCTCCCATTAAAACCTGGACTAAAGAGCAAGTATTCATTTTAGAATTTAGGGATCCACTTTGTGATTCTAGAAAAGCCATTTTGCCAGGTTATACAACAGCTATTCAAAATTGTGCTGGGGAGTCATATGTAAAATAAAAAATTATACTCAGAATCATTGCTATAATATGATTCATATATATGTGGTGGGCGGGGGGGTGGTGCATTCTTGGGATGGGGCCTTGTGCATGCAAGGCATGCACTCTACCAACTGAGCTATATCTCTAGCCCTGCTACATTTTTTTTTTMTTGAGACAGGGTTTTATTAAGTTGTCCAKGCTAGCCTCAAACTTGTGGTCCTCCTGTCTCAGGTTCCCAAGTACCATTATTACAGTCATGCCACTATATCTGGCTTTCTTTGTATTCTTAACATGTTCATAAGACCATCTCTGTGTTTAGCAACAAGTAACCTTGAGGATATGAGCTATGTGGTTACTAGAAACCAGTTATTATTGGATGTGGTACATCTTACCTCCAAATGGCCCATTTCTCCTCTGGGTCTTTGTATATGTCAAAAGAATATTTCTAATGAAATATTCTTTGTTAGGCTAATTTTGGAGAAATAGTATATTCTTTTGGCACAAAATAAGTGACTAGTTAAACATACTACTGATGATCAGGGTGAGTGCTGGAATTATTATTAGGACATTTCTCCTGAGAAAAGATATTTTAGAAGTCCCCAAATGTCATGTCTTCTACTTCTTCCTAGAGTAATGATCTCTAGGAAGTTCTCTCCTCTGGCCTTGAAATTCTCCCCTATCTTATGTCATTTTTATTTCTTTAAACCAAAATGCTTACAATGGTAATTTAAAGAAYCAAAAATATAACCCTTCAGAGTTAGAAGTCTAAATAAGTGCAGGGTTGTAACTAATGATATGACAAAAATCCTAAGTCAGCTGGAAGCATGGACATAAAAGATATGTTACATTTGTGTGAGAATCCATATATATTAAGTTTCAAACCATCTTAACACTGAATCATGAAATGCCTGAAATTTAAGTTGTATAGGGTTATAGCATGCTTACCTGTAGTTCAGTCAGCATTGTTTTGCACAATAAAGAAAACAGGTGTTTTTTATGCCTTTAATCTTGCTCTTTTGCGTTTTCCTATCTGGATACAGCTGAAAGTACCCATGGCAGACAAGCCTGGCAACACAGTAAATTTCCGGAAGCTGCTACTAAACCGCTGTCAGAAGGAGTTTGAAAAGGACAAAGCAGACGATGATGTCTTTGAGAAGAAGCAGAAAGAACTGGAAGCTGCCAGTGCTGTAAGTGATTTCACAGAAAAACAATGCTGTTTGCTTTGAGTATTGTCAAATAGAATTTTCTCCTTTTCTCTTTGAGAAGAGGCCTATAGACTTTTCTTTTCTTGCAGAGGTGCCGTACTGATATTTAGGAGAATGCTTCATTCCTTTTAGTGTGAAGTATTAAAACAATTCAACCCTCAAAGCCAGTTTTAATATTCATTCTAAGCCTGGACTTCAGAGAAGGTCACTGAGTTCTAGAAATCTGAATTGGATGCAAACTTTTGGGGATGTTCTGTTTTCTGAGGAGTAGGTCTGTAGTTATATCATTTTCAAGGGCATCTCACCCCCAGAAAGAGTAAGGCCCACAGACCTTGATGTCTCTTGGTGGGACAGTGTTCATCTTCAAGATGCTATTATTCTTTCTGGTACAACAGCCAGAAGAGAAGACGAGGCTTCATGATGAACTAGAAGAAGCCAAGGACAAAGCCCGACGGAGATCTATTGGTAACATCAAATTTATTGGAGAACTGTTTAAACTCAAAATGCTCACCGAAGCCATCATGCATGACTGTGTGGTGAAACTGCTCAAGAACCATGATGAAGAATCCCTGGAGTGCCTGTGCCGCCTACTCACCACTATCGGCAAAGACCTAGACTTTGAGAAAGCGAAGGTAAAAATCCAGAAACTCAGAAGCCTTTAGCAGGCAGTCTTTGTTGGTTGCAAAAAACTTAAGCTGTCAACAGAAGTGTTGCATTTTACCCCAACAATCTACTCCATTTGTTTTTCTTATTTTGTTCCACTCATTGTCATTGATTAAATGACAGTGCTCTTTACCACATTTGCATTAAAGTTAGAGGTAAGGAGCATCCAGTTTGTASAGTATTCATGTATTTGTCCCTTGTTCTTTTTTCTCTACTTCATGACCATTTTATAGTTCAGTTGTTTGTATGGCAAACAAATCAACTGTGTATACTTCAATAAGTTAATTCATTGAGACTCAGTCCCTTTATTTCCAAGAAGTTATAAATGAAGGAGAATATAAAATAGCTRTTCAAACAGGAGTTTTGGAGACAGTCATCATTCTAGCTTTAATTAATCTGTTTCATTCATTGGGGATAATAATATCTATCTCTTAGGGCTGTTGGGAAGATTAAATAGATAGTCTAGGTAAAGCAAACAGAAGTGGCTGCCATATGGTAAGGGAAGAATAACTACCATGGGCTAGGCCTGATGGTGATGGAGAAATAAAGAAGTCCCAGTAGCTTGCTTAAGTCTGCGGTCTGATTACTGACACAGTTATTCAATCAGAACATAAGAAAACATTRAAAACACTGTAATCCACACCTAACATTGTGCTGTCCACAAGGAATGTGGAAATTAGAAATAGTTGAAAGAAAACAATGTCAGAGCTGGGCATGATGGCACATACCTATAATCCCAGCACATTTGTGAGATCGTGTCTCAAAACAAAAAATTAAAAGGGTTGGGGATATAACTCAGTGATAAAGTGCCTGTGGGTTCAATCCCCACTACCAAAATAAATAATAGTGGTTATTATGTCATAAATGTTTTATAACCTCTGTGTCTGCTAGTATTATGTATGGTTATAACAGAACACCCCCCCACATCTATCACTTATACAGAGTTGGGGATTATTTCTCCGTAGATAACAAAGTTCAAAGGCACACAGTTCCAGCTTAACATCTTAGCATTCCTAAGGCATAACCCTGGTCCTTGTTCTCAGTAGAAGACAGGAAAGGAGCAAAGTACAGTCACATCTCTCTTAAGGAAGGTTTCAGAGCTACAGTACAACTTCTTATTTATATTTTGGCCTGTAATTAATCACATCACCAAAGTCATCTGCTTGGGAACCTAGAAAATGTAGTCTTTAGTTTGTTGGTCATATGCTCAATTAAAAATGGTACCGTTACTTTTGACTGTAAGCTATTATTCCTAACTGCTAATCTACAATTTTAAATTAGCATTTAACATTTGAATTTGTCATCCAGGAATACTAGTGATTTTGTCTTTTGCAGCCGCGTATGGACCAGTACTTTAATCAGATGGAGAAAATTGTAAAAGAAAGAAAAACCTCATCTAGGATTCGATTCATGCTGCAAGATGTGATAGACCTACGGCTGGTAAGTAAGAGAAAAAAATAAATTAGCCTGCCATTCCAGTCTCTTTGAGTTAAGTAAGGATGTCCTATTATTTATAAACATTAAAAACAATGTTTTTGCTTCAGGGCTTAGAACTTGATCTGGCAGACCTCCATAAGGAAGTTACATGAAAGAACAAAAGGTCTCTTGCCTATTACATGTTTCTTCTTAGTCCAGTTATCAAACACATTACAGTTTTGAAATTGACCATTCTGAATTCAAACTGTGGTCAGTTTGTAAGCTAAATAATCAGAAAGTCTTATCTTCACAATGACACATTTAACTTCACTGAGGCTTACATTGTTAATCTCTAAAACTGAGAATGCTGCCTACCTTGAAGTTTTGTTGTAAAGATTGAATGAGATAACTATGCAAAGTGCCAACTCGAGATGTCAGTGTTTTCTTCTCTGCTGTTTTTCCTGTAGACCTTCCTGTTCTGCTGCTTTTTTTCCTCCTTTCGTATACCAGAGTTGGGGTTTATTTCTCCTTATATAAAACAAAGTTCAAAGGCACACAGTTCCAGCTTAACATAAGGCATAACCCTGGTCCTTGTTCTCAGTGGAAGACAGGAAAGGAGCAAAGTACAGTCACATCTCTCTTAAGGAAGGTTTCAGAGCTACAGTACAACTTCTTATTTATATTTTGGCCTGTTTTCATTCTGTCTTAGTTTAATTCTGATAGGGACTGTCCTGCAGCTGAAGATGAATATGGGCACTATCTCTCTGTCTTGCATGCAGGCCAGTTAGCACTAATGGTGGTTAGCATGTTTTGCTAACCCCAGATGAGACCTTAGGATCCTTCTTATCACCAAAGTCCTTCCCAGCTAATCAGAATTTGCATATTATTAAACTGGTTTCCAGCCATGCCCGCAAATCACTTTTATCAGGTTTTGGAACTGTGTCTGAGAATGAAAGGGAGGAGTGTAATTATACAGAGACAGCTTTCGTCCCTACAGAGGGGAAACTGGAGGGTGGCATTGTATGCACTTAGTGACAGTACCAGAATCACAGTGTTGAAGGAGGAAGCCTGCTACTCATCCTTGATTTAGAGCCTCTCTGAAATATGATATGACCTGAGTAGCAAAATGCCTGATTATGTCAGTACCAAGGAATCCTTATTCTTCTTGATTCCTTGTCCCTCTCTGCCTGTGAATTGTAGAAAATGATGGTAAAATACATTTGGCCCAGCTGGACGAGGTTGATTAAGGAGAATTTAATTCTGTTGCTCTATTCTCTAGACTCCATGTAGTGTCATATATGAGACAGAAACTGCCATAATTTCAGATTTATAGGTAGCTTATACTTTTCCAACAGTACATGCATTTTAAAGATTTTTCAATTTTATTTCCAGTTATCTCACTAGTAACCTTATTTTCTACTTTTATAGTGTAATTGGGTATCTCGAAGAGCAGATCAAGGACCTAAAACTATTGAACAGATTCACAAAGAGGCCAAAATAGAAGAACAAGAAGAGCAGAGGAAGGTCCAACAGCTCATGACCAAAGAAAAGAGAAGACCAGGTAAGGGTGGAAGGCCACTGAGCTTGGAAGAACCTGGGAATCTGAGGGGTAGATATGTAAGAATTCTTTATTCAAGTGTGAAATGAGACCACTGAGAATAACCCAAAGAATGAGAGTGGCAATTGTTAAGTGAACCATTTTCCCCTAGAGATCAGTCATTGCTTATATGGAGTGGTGCACGCCTGTAACCCAGTGACTCAGGAGGCTGAGGCAGGAGGATCGAAAGTTCAAAGCCAACCTCAGCAATTTAGTGAGGCCCTATATCAAAATAAAAAGGCTGGGAATGTGGCTCAATGATTAAGCACCCCCAGGTTAAATCCCCAGTACCAAAAAGAAAGAAAGAAATAGAAAAAAATAATTTCCATCTAACTTTTCACAAAGTATTCTAGTCATTAACTGCAAAGACCAGATGTGGCCCTGCCTTGCCCACACTGAGTATTCATTTGTGTCATTTGGTTTTTTTAATAAGTCAGTCAGGTTCATGGAGAGCCAATATAAGCAGAGGACTCTGCTTGATATTTTCATTCTGTGGGCACTAAAGGGCCTATCACCAGTACTTGCACAGCTTCTTTTGTCTTTTTCCTTGGTTTTGATTGAACTGGCTGAGTTGAAAATATTGCTCTCGGGCTGGGGTTGTAGCTCAGTGGTTGAGTGCTTGCCTGGCATATGTGAGGCACTGGGTTCATCCTGAGTACCACATAAATAAATAAAGATATTGTGTCCATCTACAACTAAAACAAAAAGTGTGTTATGTGTGTGTGTATTGCTCACTCTTTCTAATGACTTGGGATAATGAGAGACTGGCTCACTCTGTTCTCCCTGTAGGTGTTCAGAGAGTGGATGAAGGTGGGTGGAACACGGTACAAGGGGCCAAGAACAGTCGAGTACTTGACCCCTCAAAATTCCTGAAAATTACTAAGGTGAGTGTGACATTTAAAATTTAATTTACAACAATTCKGCCATAAGTCTCAAAAGTACTTGCTCATAAAAAAATAACCTCATTGCAAAGCAAAAACAAAACCACATTGCATATTTTGTGGCATGGTTGTTTGGGGACAGATACTTTTCTACAAGTTAGTATTGTTCAGTGTATTGTACATACCTGTTTTAGCACTAGTTCATTTTATTTCTGAGTTTTTTCTTTTTTAAGTTTTTTTTTTAAATATATATTTTTTAGTTGTAGAGGATCGAATCCAGTGCCTCACATGTGTTATACAAGCTACAGACTCAGTCCTATGAGTTTTCTAAAGAGGAAATACCTGGGTTAATCCCAGCCATTTGGGAGGCTGAGGCAGGAGTATCGAGAGTTCAAAGCCAGCCTCAGCAAAAGCCAGGCGCTAAGCAATTCATTGAGACCATATCTCTAAATAAAATACAAAATAGGGCTGGGGATGTGGCTCAGTGGCCAAGTGCCCTTGCAGTCCCCAGAACCCCAAAAAATTTAACCAGGAGGGTTGGAATTGTGGCTCAGTGGTAGAGTGCTTGCCTGGCATGTGTGAGGCACAGGGTTTTATCCTCAGCACCACATATAAATAAGAAAAAGATCAGTTGACAACTAAAAAAATTAATATTTTTTTAATTTAACCAGTAAAGATATTAAATTCCATATCCAAGGACTAAAAGAATTCTCAGAGAGCCTATTAGAAATCATTCTATAATAAATATTTAATATATTCTCCCTTCCTCTCTCTTGAGAATTCATGGGTAGGAAGAAGAAAAAAGTTTCTTTTAGCAGATGTTTCTAGCAGTAGGAGTCGATAACTATAAGTAGGGCGAAGAATTTAAGGGAATGTTAAGTTTGGTAAAAGTGGACATCGGCACAGCCCAGGGGTTTGTGCAGATGGTTTGYGAGTCTCTCAAGACCCTAACTTGTAATTGGTTTTCCAGGGTTCTCAGGACTGGCAGCCTGCCAGCAGAGTGCTGAGCACAACCTAAAACTAATGTGAAAACACCAAATGAGAAAAGATAACTGACAAAAAATTAAAAGAGCCAGAAAACTGGATAATAAAACATACTATAGTCATTTGTATCTTCATGGTTTTGTCGAAGCTTTGCTTCAGAATAAAGATTCCCCTTCAGAATGTCTCGATGTAATTCACTATAATCATATTCTCTAGGATTCTAGTATATTCTTGTAATTGTTGTTTAGGTCACAGAGCAGGACTTTCGCTTCTCAATACAAATTGATTCCCATCCATTTCCAGCAGAAGACAATTTTAATTAAAGCCTTACATTTAAAAAAGTTGCTCTAGCATCAATTCAGCTGGTACCTAATAACAACATTTTTGTTTTTAAATATTACATTTTTGTGCATGAACATGATAAGGAACAATTCTGGAATCAATCCTCCACATCACTATTGTCCTATTTTGAAAAATAAGTAAAATTGTGTGTTAATAAAATTTGTGTATTCAGATAATGTATTCAGATAGTAGTTCTGTAGGTACTGTGTGTCAGTATGCTACAAAAAGTTCAAAACCATTAAGAATATTTATTGTTAATTGATAGAGATTTGTATAAAAGTAGGTCACATAGCAAAGCAGTACATCCGGAGTTGTCAAAATATAGCAATACTTTCATTAGAAAAAACTGCATTCATCTTTTTGTAATTCTGTTCACTTCTACTGAAGTTGTGCTTGGCTAGTGAAACGTGAAAGATATCAGGCACCTTAACTCACTGCACTCACTGTCCATTATTCCATTCTTTTATTCCCCTTTATTGAATACTCTCATTCCACCCGCCATCCCTCACCCAACGTGAAAATTTTGTGTTTCAACTTGCTTTTCCTCAATAGTGTAATATTTGTGTATTTTCTTTTCTTCATCTTTTTTAAATTAATGGGCACTATACAAGAGGAACCATTAGAAGCTTCTAACATTTTGCAAATTAATAAACCATCTTAAATAGAAGGACTTGAGGGCATTCCCCAGACCAGTGCCTTCAAATTTTGTTCTGTGGAAATGAATCCAAAGAAGTGACTTAGAGGCTTCAGTGATCCCACTTTAAAGGGAACAGTTCCAGTTTATGTTTCTTAAACTGGCATTCSAAACAAAATTTGTTGCTAAAATTGGTTCTACTGAACTGAAGAAGAAAAAAAGAAAAACTATTCTTTTAGAATATTTCCTATAATTGACTTGTGACCACTATATTACAGCCCACAATTGATGAGAAAATTCAGCTGGTACCTAAGGCTCAGCTGGGCAGCTGGGGAAAAGGCAGCAGCGGTGGAGCAAAGGCAAGCGAGACAGGTATGTGCACTGGCCTTCTTCCAGCCTCCTGCTAGCTTCTCCCTTGGGATGCTCTTCTATAGTCACTGCATAACGATTTTAGGAAAAGATCTGTAGACTGATCATGTCCCAGATGTTATTTTGGTGGCCCTCTCTAGCATAAACTAAGATTTCCTCATTGAAGAGGATCTTCGGTTAAACCATTTTTAAATTTTGGCAAAACCTTTTTAGTTCACAATGTTTTTTTCATATACTTCTATTTTTGATAGACAACAGTAATTATACATATTTATGGGATATAGTGTGCATTTCAGACGCACATATTATGTATAATGATAAGATAGGGTAATTGGCATATTTATCAGCTCAGATGTATATATTTCTTTATTTGGGGAACATTCAGAAAACTTCTAGTAGCTGTTTGAAATGTTAATTAACCATTGTCAACCATAGTTTTTCTACTGTGCTATAGAATATCAGAACTTATTTTAGCTAAGTGGTTAGGAATTAAATCTGTTAGGGTCCTTTTTTGTTGTTCACAGTTCAATCTAGTTACAGATATTACTGGGGCCCCAAGTTAAAAGGGAAACTCATTATGTTGAAAAAGAGTGTTAATTCATAGAAACATTTAATTTAAAGGGTTTATAAAGAAAAGCTTAAAATATTTTTAAAATTTCTATCAAAAATCAGTTTTTGTCAGCTATGACTTTTTTTTTTTAATTTGGTAGTTATAGATGGACACAATGCCTTTATTTTTATTTACTTTCATGTGGTGCTGAGGATCGAACCCAGGGCCTCATACATGCTAGGCAAGTGCTCTACCACTGAGCCACAGCCACAGCCCCAACAGCCATGACCTTTTTAACTAAAAATGTTTGAACCATCACAAACATGACTGCTATCTAAGGAAGTCCAAAGAAAAGCTAAAATGTTAACCTTCTCATTTATTCTTCCTACTAAGAACTTTCACTTAACTTTTTAAAAAATTTTAAAATGTTACAATTCATTTAAACACACATGCATGATTTTACATAAATGGGATCATAGCATTTGTATGCACTTTGTTTAAGTGCAGTATTTTGGTTTACATTTGCCTGCCTCCTTGCTATTTACCATAAGCATCCCTGTGCCCTATAAGGATAATTTACATGTTTTTAAAGGTGCACATGCTTCTAATGAACAAATGTTTTTAAACACTATTTACATACAAATTTTCTCCAATGCTTTGTTCTCAAAAGTAGATGTACCAGGAGATTAGCATCACCTGAACCTGTTAGAAATTTGTGTTCTCATTCCAGGTATAGTGTTTCTCACCTGTAGCCACAACTACTGGGGACACTGAGGCAGGAGAATCCCTTTTGCACAAGAGTTTGAGACCAGTCTGGATAACATAGAGATCCATCTCTTAAGAATGGAAAAAAACAAAGAAATTCCTTCTTGGGCCCAGCCCAGGAAGGCAGGTTAATGAGCATTTGCATTTTAGTCATGTGTTTGTACCTTTTTCTAAAATCTTAACACCTACAGATGCCTTACGGTCAAGTGCTTCCAGTTTAAACAGATTCTCTGCTCTGCAACCTGCAGCCCCATCAGGGTCCACGTCAAACACATCTTTAGAGTTTGATTCCCGAAGGGCTTTAACCAGGTGAGAATTCCACTTTACGAGTTTATTCAAGGCTGTCCTTCTTCCCATATGTCTGTCTCTCATATATATGTAAATTATGATGGTAACCCTATGAATATCTTCCTATCATACCTAAAGTTGATTTCTTTTACTTTTCTCACATACACATACACACACATACACACACACACACACACACACACATACACACTATATATATATAYAYAYRYGTGTGTGTGTATATGTGTATATATAAAAATATGGGAGTTTTGTTTTGGTTTTTTATACAGGGGATTAAACCTAGGGGTGTTTAACCACTTAGCCWCATCTCCAGCCCTTTTTATTTTTTATTTTGAGACAGGGTCTCACTAAGTTGCTTAAGGCCCTGAGAAGTTGCTGAAGCTGGCCTCTAACTTGTGATCCTCTGGCCTGAGCCACTGGGATTACAAGCATGTGCTACCACACACTATGATTTTAAAGTAGGAACAAAATTAGGTATTGGGTTTGGGATGTGATGGGGCAGAAGAGTATAAGTTTTCTGACAGATAACTAAGAATTTGCTCCTTAATCCCCCCCCCCCCACACACACACACACCAAAGAGCACTGGAGGCATGTCTAGGGCTTGCCAAACTACTACTCCTGGATGTTGTTGAATAATGTGACATGACATCCCACCCATACACTTCTGTTACACTGTTCAAATTATGTGAGATTGTCCTTTAGCTTTCACTTGTCTGTATGCATATTCTGCTATCTTTCTACTTTTTTGTTSTTGTTGGCTAGTTTACATAGTCACATATTCTATTGGCTGGTTTCCATAGCGTGATTGGAGACCTATGGTATTGTGATAGGAGAAGAGAATTTTTGATACATGCACTTTCAAAGTTGAAATTTCTTTAAACTTCCAATACTTTTTTAGAAAAATTAATTACTACATTTTGATTAGGTAAACCTTCTAACTATCTTACTCATTCCCTGGGCTTCTGAAACAAAGTATTCTTAGCACCTGCCAACTTTTAAGGAGAACTCAGATTGTCATCTGCYATTGAGGCATTTGTTGGCTGTTTGCTCTGTCATAAGTTTTTGATGGCTTTTCTTTTTAARTACTTGTGTATGTTCTTTCATAATGGTTAGATCTTTGTCTATCCCTAGTCTCTTTTTTCATATTTACTTCACTGCTTTTGAACTGTCATGATCTGTGAACTGTTGTTGCAGCTGTTTAGAATTGTCTAAGAAAAGAAAAAGTTGTGTGAATACAGTGGTACACACTTGTAGTCCCAGTACTAAGTAGGTGGTGTACACCTATAATCTCAATGACTGGAGAGACTGAGACAGGAGGATCACTAGTTTGAAACCAGTCTCAATAACTTAATGAGACCCTGTATCAAAGTAAAAAGTAAAAGGTTTGAGAAGTTGCCCAGTGGTAAAGCATCCCTGAGTTGACTCTCCAGTCCTGCTCCACTCCTCAAAATAGAACCATTGTTTTTGTTTTGTTTTGTTTTGTTTTGTTTTTAAAGACTAGGGCAATATGCACATTGTGTCTTAAAATGAATAAAGTATATGCCTGTGGCTGTTCAAAGCCTACTTCTACTTGGTTCTTTTTTTTTTATTTATTTTTAATTTTAGGTAGACACAATATCTTTATTTTATTTTTACGTGTTGCTGAGAATCGAACCCAGTGCCTCACGCATGCTAGGCGAGCACACTACCACTTGAGCCACATCCCCAGTCCTCTCTACTTGGTTCTTAATAATTTCCATGTTTCTGGAGAAATAAAGTATCATCATATAATTTCTAAAATAGTGATTTCTTGTTCTTAGGACATTTGTTTCCCTTTCATTCACTATTCTCTTGCTTTTTATCACTGTCTTTCTTTCTAAAAGCAGTTTTAAAGAACAAAATAAGGAGTTGCCATTGTCATTTAATATTTTTAAGTAGGTAAAGGTATAGTTCAATGGTAGAGTACGTGTTTAGTTATCTCAAGGCTCTGGGTTAAATACCTGGCACCGAAAAGGAAAATTAAAAATTCTAAGTAGTCCCTTTTACCCTTAGAGGACAAAACTTAAATAAAATATCTTAATAAATATTTCCTTCAAAGCATTCTGGGTTTTACTTATTCATTCAAAAAAATCTACTTTGAAATATAATTTGTACTTAATGCATCTAGTTACCTGTGGAATGTTAATTTTTATGCCTTCAGTGTCATTTGATAAGTTGGATATAAAGGAGAGAGGGTTGTCTTTCTTTTAAAAAGTGTTGTTTTGCCTTTTAAGTCGTGGAAGCATGGGCAGGGAGAAGAATGATAAGCCCCTGCCACCTGCAGCAGCTCGTCCAAACACATTCATGAGGGGCGGCAGCAGTAAAGACCTGTTAGACAATCAGTCTCAGGAAGAGCAGCGGAGGGAGATGCTGGAGACCGTGAAGCAGCTAACAGGAGGCGTGGACCTGGAGAGAAACAGCACCGAGGCCGACCGAAACAGAACCAGGGAGTCAGGTTAGAGAYTTTCTAGGGACAAGAATAGAGAAAGATACAGCCTTAAATTTGGGAGGAAAACCACAAAGGAGACTTTGTGCCTGAGCAGAGTTCAGAAACGGCATACCAGAGCAGCACACGTGCCTGTGCCTTRACAATGACAAGACCACTCCATCATTCTGTAACACCATTCTCATTCCCTAGTATGTCTTTGCTGAGAAGTCGTCAGATTTCCCCTTTCTCTGTTAAATGTTATGGTGACAGAGTTCTCCTGCTGTATGTTAAGCAATCTGAATTCCTCAGGAGTCTCTTCAGCACCCTCCCTTGCACTGCTGTTAGAGTGACATGGCCGTGTAATGCCAAAGATTTTACTTTGTTAAGCAACAAGGTGTCAGATTGTGTTTTGTTGCCATCATCTGCCCTGGCATCTTCTGTGGATTGGATGCGTTTAGCATGTGTATGCTTAAAGACTTGCTCAGGTGATAGTATAAACGTCACTTCATGTATTTAACCTGTGTTTCAGTTTTCTCATTTATTAAATGGGGTTAAGTGTATCTACCTTAACTCTATAGGGTTATTGCAGATGAAACGAGAAGGTAATATATAAAAATACTTAGAACTTTATCTCATAAATAACAAAGTTTTCAAAAGGTATTAGATAGCATGATGATGATGATAATAGTAATTAAAAATAATTTAAAGAAATTTTTTGGCATTTTCTCAATCTTAACTATGAAATAACACTAGTTGCTTATACCATTAATATGGCTTTTAAATTTGTTTGACTATTTAAATTGTTCCTTTTAACCAGTCTATTTAAATAGACTTTAGAGGCAATTGAAATTTCTTCTTCCAATTGAGAATAGGCTTTAATTATGTAACTTTAGGGACATTTGACGTTCTTAGGTACTTTGGGAACATAATAGGATAAGAAATGAAAATATGTATGTGCAGTGAGTAATGTGACATAGCTGATCTGCACAGAAGTACKGTACAACTGAGAAAACCTTTACGAAGGAAAGGAATGTAGTTCTTTGAGAGAAATTAACAAGAGACCAATCTGGAATCAGGGCAGAGGGACCAATAGGAATGAAACAGGTTTACAAGAAAGRACAGCTATGGAACAGATAGTAGGAGAAGCCATGGCATGTTCTAGCAAATGCCGTAGGCCAGTGTGGTTAGAGCTGTGGTCAGCACAACCCTAGCCTATGTGAATTCTGAAGGTATTTTGTGCTTCTCATGGAAACAGTGTAGAAGAGTCAAAATACAGAAAGGAACAGAGAAACTCGTAGACTCTAAAGGTGTATAATATGCCTAAATCTTGTTGATTATTATTATAAATTATGAAGTTAATTAGTGCATATCTATGCCAAAACTTTCTGAATTGTTTTTACATCATCTTGCTTCATCATACTTACATCTATTAAATGGCTCTATTGAAAAAACAGTGTAACAACATAAAAGTAATATCACTTTCATATGGTAATTTTTGTCCTTTTTATTTTCTCACTTTTTAAAATTTCATTAGCAGTGAAACTAGAAATGTCAACAGTGTCAACCCCTGACAGGCCTGTATTGTCAGAAGAGGAGATGGAGAGAAAGTCCAAATCTATCATTGATGAATTTCTACACATTAATGATTTTAAGGTAAATGAGATTTAAATAAGAAAGAAAGCAGCAGGACAGAAAGCCCTGTGACAACCATGTTTAGTAACTTGGTCTAAATCAGATGTCATTGTGACTGATAAAACTTAGACTGAATGATCTAAATTCTACATGGTTCATTGTGCTTAACTCTGATGCATTCTGCCAAGTATTGTCTTTCAAATTAATTCTGTAGTTCACAACGTGAAGTGGTTGGGGAGAAGCTACAGGTGCCAATCCAGTCTAAACCAGGGAAAAACAAATTGACTTTGATATTAATGACCAAAAACAATACACAATCATTGTAAGGTATTTCTTACACCCAGTTATACTTGTTGTAGTTGTTTAAACATTCCCATGTTAACCCTGAAATATGGCTGGCATTATTTTTCTTTGTTTCGTAACTGAAAAACTGAAACACAAAGGGGCAAGTGATGTTCCAGGGTCTGATGGCCTAAATGAGACATTTAAAGTCATGGCTTTCAATGTGTCCCTCTTTAGCCCTTACCTTCCCCCTGTGTTCATTTTAAGATGGTAGTGAGCAAAATAGATGCTGCCTGGCATCATGTGCTCTGTAGTGTGTTGATGGAGACAGATCATATACAGGTAACGCCACAGTTATTTAAATTGTAGGGTCTTAGGAGATCATATACTGGACTCTAGTTTGGTGCTCTGAGGTCTGGAAAGGCTTTTTTTGTTAAAATTGTCTATCTGTTGGGCTGGGTTGTGGCTCAAAGGTAGAGCGCTTGCCTACCATGCATCAATCCAGCATCACATATAGCAGCATCACCTATAACTAAAAAAATAAATATTTTTTTAAATTGTCTGTTAAAATATATCAGATATATTAACTACTTTTGCTTTGGCATTATCAAAAATACTAAAGACACTTGAATTCTTAACAATATAATCATTATCTGCTTTCAGTATACATAAATCACATTGGTTAGCCAGGCTTTGTGGCACATACCTTTAATCCCAGCACTTTGGGATGCTGAGGTAGGATTTCAAGTTCAAAGCCAGCCTCAGCAATTTAGCAAGATGGTGTCTCAAAATAAAACAAAAGGGGGCTGGGAATRTGTCTCAGCACCCCCTGGGTTAACTCTCCAGTACCAAAAAAAAAAAAAAAAATTGGTTATGTATAGCCCAGCTCAGAAGCAGGGAGAAGTTTTTGATGATGAGTAAGATAGGACTATTTTGCAGAAACCCTTGGAAATGCAGCACCATAAGTGAAGATTAATTGAAAAAGAGCTAAAGAATGTACCTGATSTACTATATTTTATTAGCTAACTTCCTGGCTAATGAGAGTGTTCTCGTAAACTGGCAACCCAGCTCTTTTTCTTGCATGGAAGTAGGTAAATGTGAAAGACTTAAGAGCAAGTTGAATAGCTATGGTAAGCAAGTACAGAAAGGGAGAAAGCAGTGGGGATTGTCGTCAGACATAATTTGATGGATGTACAAAGTTAGTGAGTGACAATTTTAAAGATGACCCTGTAGTGAAATGCAAGTACAGGAAGAAGATAACCTCATGAACACTTAGGTGTGCAAGAATACCCTTTGGAGGATCATGAGCCCCAGCCAGGTCTGCAGTATGAAGGGGGCAGAGTTAGTTACAACTTCAGAATTCTAATTTGCAGTATAGTAGAGGCAGTTGTACCTGCAGAGTGGCTCTAAGAACCAGGTAATAATATTCTACATTTATTGAGACTTACTCTGTGCTGTTCTACATATTTTATATGTATTAGTTTATGTAATCAAAGTTGATATTATAATGCCTGTTTTTACAGATAAGAAAGCTGAGATGCATAGACATAAAAGTCACTTGCTCAAGATCTTACTGCTAATAAGCAGCCGATTAAAAGCCAAACTTGAGCTTCAGAGCCCAAAATAAGCTTTATCTCGTCCCTTTTAGGGTATTAGTGTCAGGCTAAAGAATTATAGAATGTATCCTAAGAGGGTTTTTTTTTTTGTCTGTTATCCTCTTCATAAGTGCCATAAATTAATATTATTGAACCTTTATTTTATGCCTGTCAAGGTGCCAAGTGCTTTCCTGTATATTTTTTATATACATTTCCCCTTGTAACCTTTTGATAGAAAGCACAGGCTAAAAGATTGTTCTACTCCTTAAGTCACATATTAGTAAGAGGCAGAGCCAGGAATCAAACCTTCATTTGTCAAGACTCCCACATTTTCGGGGATACTACCTGAAAGTAGCATAGTACATACAACAAATAATATCATCTGCTTCTGTGGACTTACATTCTAKTGCAGAGACACCAACAAGACTGACCCTAAAGATAGGTCAGGAATAATTAAGCTGTAGCTACAAAAAGAAAAACAGTGTTTCAGTACAGAGAAGTAAAACTAGGTGGTATGATAGGCAATGGGGAGATAATCAGAAGACTATAGAAGGTGTTACTTCTACTGAGAGCTCAGAGACAAGAAGAAACAAATCATGAGAAAAGAAGATAGCAGGCAAGGTTGTGAATTGCTATGATACAATTGGTTGACCCTTTATGGAGAAACTGACCCTTCCTGCTGGGGGACACATAGGGTATATATAGAGAATTAAGTACTTGAATTTATTCCACCTTTTCCCTAAAAGTAATTGTAATGATGTTGATGAGGTTAAAATGAGGCAAAAACCCAACAAGGATAATGAGCACTTGAAACACCAACAGCAACACAACAGCTGCCCTGAATGCTACAGAAATACCAGTATCATGAAAAGACAAAAAAGAGTTGCGGGTGGAGGGGCCTGGGGATATAGCTCAGTTGGCAGAGTATTCACCTCACATGTACAAGGCCCTGGGTTCAATCCCCAACACCACCCAAAAAATAAATAAATAAACGAAAAATAGAAGGGGAGTCTGCTTTAGATTACAAGAGTCTAAAGAGACATGGCATGGAATGTTGGTTCTCAACAACAAGAAGCTATTTGGACATTTGGGGACAATTATGGAAATTTGAAATGTCCTGTATATTAGATGATATTTTTATCTAAATCAAAGTGAAGACACATAGTTTTATACTGGATTACTCTTAATTTTTCTGTAGTTTTGAAATTTTTTTAGGTAAGAACAGAGGAGGTATAAAGTAATAGAAGGGAAAGAGAGCAGTCCCACTGAGATACCAAGAGGAGCCTTACTTCCCTTACTTCCCTTTGCACATGTAGCTTCCAAGAGGAGCTGCTTTTTGCAGAAGTCTAACCAAGAGATTTTGGACCAGAGTAGCAACAGAGCTGCTCTGGCTAAGAGTAGGGAGTTAATGCTGGTGATGGAGCAGCCTGGCTGTCAGGCTTTCATTCCCCAGACCAAAGATATTAAGCTGACCAGATCATTTCCACAGTAAGCACCGGTTAACAGAGCCTGGCACAGAAAYCTCCTCCAAGGACTTTAGCACTTAACCTAATCATATCACTGAAGTTTAGCATTCCTAAGAGGAAGACCTCTTTCATGGAGATGGGGAATGTCTTAACAGTCCCAGCCAAGGTATCTGGGCTTCCATGTTGAGGCCTTCAAATCATGGCATTGAATTTCAGTGTCATAATATACTATTTTCACTTTCTAAAATGATTAGAAAACAGGTGAATGTTATGTAGAAAAATACCTTTGGGCTCTGATCTTCTGATTGTTTTTTGAATAAAATTATTAACCTACAAATGTTAGCCTTTTGAAGATCTCTCTCTCACTCACACACACACACACACACACACACACACACACACACACACACCCACCCATAAACCCAGACACCCATACACCTGCCAGGATCTCCCTACGTTGTCCAGGCTGGCCTCAAACTCCTGGGCTCCAGTGATTTTCCTGTTTCTGCCTCCCAAGGAGTTAGGACTTTACGGATGCATGCCATCATACCCAGTTTTCTCATTAATATGACTAACTTGCCTTTATCAGTCTACCTTTTACTGGACTTTCAATAAGCAAAAACTTAACTTCAAAAACTGTCTTGTTAACACAGCTTTCTACTGACTTTATCATAAGCAAAAGATTTTAAGGTTGTTTAACACCAGATTTTGGAGCAAGCCTTTATTTGCTATTTGAACAGGAAGCCATGCAGTGTGTGGAAGAGCTGAGCGCCCAGGGCCTGCTACATGTTTTCGTGAGAACGGGAGTGGAGTCCACCCTCGAGAGAAGCCAGATCACCAGGGATCACATGGGCCAATTGCTTTATCAGCTGGTACAGTCAGAAAAACTCAGCAAACAGGACTTTTTCAAAGGGTCAGTATCCTCCTCAAGAGTACCATTCAGGGGACTGGGGTTGTGGCTCTGTGGTAGAGCGCTGGCCTAGCATATGAGTCACTGGTTCGATTCTCAGCACCACATATTAATTAAAAAAAACCAAAATAAATAAATAAAAGGTCCATAATAACTGATAAAAATAATTTTTTAAAAAGAGTACCAYTCAGTAACCAGCCTTCTTTTTCCATACATGAAAATCGTGTCCACTGTAGTATGTTGAGCCAATATAATATATTGATCATACATTGCTTGATTTGATGCTATTTTTTAGATTGTGTTTGTACAGAAAGGTTTTCTTCTGGTTTTTCTGTGTTTTATTGTTAGACCTGCATCATGATGTCAGTTGTGAAGCTGACCTTAGCCTCAGGGAAACTCTGAGCTCTTCACCATCTCATTTACATGTAAACCTGCTTATTCTTTTCAGTTTACTTTGTGAGAAAAATTTTGGAAAATTGATTTTGAACCTTATCCTTTTAGTAAACCATGGTTATTTGGACCAGAAAGTGCTCGTCTCTCCACTGTAGCCCCATAGCAATATAACTCCATTTTCTTAATGATTTATACTGTTACAGGTTGACTTCACTATAATTCTAACCAGTGACTGTTGGTGAGATTTGGCTGTCTTTAGCGTTGTATCCCCATTTGAGCAAGTTCTGACATATTATGGTGCACCTTCACCATAAATGCACAGGTTAGGTTCTTTGTGACTCAGCCACAGAATCTTACTCTGGGTGAGATTTTTAAATCAATGTTCAAGCTATACATGGTCATGCACACCTGAAATCCCAGTGACATGGGAGGCTGAGGCAGGAGGATTGCAAGTTCAAAGCCAGCTTTCACAACTTAGTGAGACCCTGTCTCAAAATTTGAAAAGGGCTGGGGATGTAGCTAAGTGGTTAAGCAACCTGGGTTCAATCCCTGGTTATGTATAATAAAATTAAGTACATACCTATGTATGTATAAGTAAGAAAAAAATTTCATATCATAAAAAAATTTGTTTTTGATTTTTGGTTACCAAATTTTGCACCAAATATAAGCATAGAATCAAGTTCAGTGCTGTCAGATATCCATTCTCTAAAGGAATAGGAATTAAGACCTTTAGGTCTAGAGATCAAACTCAAATCTACCATCTTACATTGACTTGGGCATATGCTCACTGAATTGATGGTGGTATGAATTCCTTGTAAAACTTTTTTGCCAAGCTCATTCTTCTAAATTAAATTCATATATGACGAAATGCCTCTTTGTACCTTTCTGTTGTCATTTCAGATATGATTAATCTCTTAGAATATAACTATTAAATACCATGTTGAATGTTCTTAGGAGTAGTTAATTTTTGAAAAGTGATGACATTGTCCTTGAGGCCCGAGAAAATTCATAATTGTCCCAGGATCATTAAGAAATTATCTTTCAGCAATAAGCTGGGTTTATATAAATTAAGGGGCTAGATTAAGGCCATTTGAATCAGTTAACTTAATAGGAAACTTTAGCAAAGCCAGAATGATGACCCAGTTTTATGAGAGAAATCTGTGCTTCGCTGCAGTAAACAGCAAGTAAGAGCAAATGAAGGCACCTTCACTCTTAAAATCAAACTAAGGTCTCTGCTCCCAGCCAACCTAAAAATAGGTACAAGCTCCTAAAATTCACAGTAATGGAATCTTCCTATATCACTTTGTAAGGATTTACATGTGTTCCCCAGACTTTCTGCAAATGAGAGTGCTAGATTACTGTTCACTGTGTTCTGTTTCTTCTGACAATAGTCAGAAGTTCCTTCACATCTAGGAAGTGTAGTCTATTTCCAGGTTATAACTGAACTTACAAAATACTGGCTTAATTTCTAGGATTTCAGACAGTTGCATTTCCCTTTTGGTGATTTCCTGAAAGAAAACTGTCATCCGACATGGTGTTTACACTCTCATTAGTGGCGGTACTATTGCTGCTGCTTAGAATAACTACCACAACTACCACCTTTTATTTAGATGGTAAATGAGATCAACATTTCTGTGTCTCAGCAAATCACTTCATCATTTTACATCATTGCTTCCTTCATTGCGGTGGCTCCAGGCCTCACCTTTGATAATTAGCTAGACCTTACCTGGCCATCTTTAAATCAAGTCTTGTGCAAGTTGTGGAGATACATTTGACAATATAGCACCCACCTTTTCCTAAGATGGAAACAAAAGGATAGCCCCAYATGTCATTATTCATCAAGAACCTTCTTGCAAGAAGCTCAGAATTGCAAAGTCCATACTGTTCAGATAGGTCATTTCATAGGAGCCACAGACACTTCCAACACCCAGAAGATCTCTGTTCTTTCAGAATATTATTCAGGATCACCTTTGGGTGCTGCTGCTGAGATGTCAATTTCTGAGCAGTCAAGGAAGCAGTTTCTGCCCAGCTCTCCACCCCAGGAATGACCTGGGAAGCATGGGAGAGCAGAGAACTCCAGGTGTCTGGTTCTGGTCCTGATAATATCATCTAATGTTCCCTTCAGGGCATGTACTGCTAATAGTGTCCTGAAATAGAAGTTTCATTTAGGCTTTATAAGTAAACCTTAGATTAGCTTCTTTGGAATTTTCCTAAAAGATTCCATATAACTGTGAGTATAGTAGTTTCTGTATATAAAACCTCCACAAAGACTACATCAAGCCATTCTTTGGGAATTTTCAGGACTTGAATCTAAATCCTTCATGAAACAAATTAGGTATATAGGTAGGTAGGTTACTATACATTAGTGTACTGGTTTATTTCTGGGTTTTCTTTCCTATTCCATCAGTTTTGTCACTTCCATGCTGTTTGATTGCATTTGCTTTACAATATGTTTTGAAATCASGGAGTGTAATGCCTCCAACTTTTGTTGTTTTTGCCAAGATAATTTTTGGGGTCTTTTGTGGTTTTATACAAATTTAAGAATTCTTGGGGCTGGGGTTGTGGCTCAGTGGTAGAGTGCTCCCCTAGCATGTGCAAGGCCCTGGGTTGGATCCTCAGCACCACAATAAATAAATAAAATAAAGGTATTGTGTCAAATACAACTAAAAATATTTTTTTWWAAAAAAATTCTTTTTTCTAGGGCTAGTGTTGTGGCTCAGCAGTAGTAGAGCGCTCGCATAATGCGTGTGAGGCCCTGGGTTCAATCCTCAGCACTGCATAAAAATAAATAAATAAAATAAAGGTATTGTGTTCATCTATAACTAAAAAATAAATAGGAAAAAAAAGAAATATTTTTTTCTATTTCTAATGACATTGGAATTTTGACAGGGATTACCATATTGGGTGGTCTGGTCTGGTCTGGACATTTTAACAGTTTTTATTCTTCTAATCCATGAATTTGAGATATCTTTCCATCTATTGATTTTCTTTAGTTTCATTAGTGTTTTAAAGTTTGCATTGTGCAGATACATCTTTTACCTCCTTGGTTAAATTTACACCTAAATATTTTTGTTGTTGTTGTTGCTGTTCTAAATGGGGGTTGGGGTTGAAGCCCAGTGGTGGAGCACTTGCCTACCATGTGTGAGGCACTGGGTTCAACTCTCAGCACCACATATACATAAATAAATAAAGGTCCATCAACAACTAAAATATATATATATATATATATATATATATATTTTTTTTTTTTTTTTTTTAAATGGGACTTTCTTTTGTTTTGCAGTACTGACAATTGAACCCAGAGGTGCTTCACCCAAGCCACCTCCCCACCCCTTATTTTTCAACACAGGGTCTCAGAGTAGCCTCAAAATTGTGATTTTCCTTTCTCAGCCTCTCAAGTTACTAGGATTACAGATATGTATCATGACACCTGGCTATACATGGAAATTTACTTTTTGGCAAATTTGTTACTAGTTGATAGAAATGGAACTGGTTTTCTCATGTGCAGCACAGTGGATATGCTGGTCACTGCTTACCAAGAGACAAAGATGTGGTGTAGCTCTATTTCATTTCTACAGCCCACAGAAGATATATATTATGCAAAGATAATTATGTAGAGCATCTGCATACCTAGGATTTTTTTTTAAATCATGCAAAAGGACTTAGTGACTACAAACATTAAAAAAGAAAGTCCCACAGCTCTGTTCTGTGGAAATCCTTTGTTTAGCCAAYAACAACAAAAGTTTCTTATCAGGATTATGTTTTTAACCACTAATTTTATTCTATAAACTGTTCCATTGATGAAAAATAGAAAACTGCTCAGTACTGTAGTCCCAGCAGCTGGGGAGGTTGAGGCAAGAGATCCCAAGTTCAAGGCCTGCCTCAACAACTTAGCAAGACCCTGTCTCAAAATGAAAAATCAGAAGAGCTGGGGACATGGCTCAGTGGTTGAGCACCCCTGGATTTAATCCCTGGTACTCATAAAAGTGAGGAGGATAGATACAAAACTAAGGCAAGAATATGAGTATCTTATCTTTCACTTATGATATGAGATGGTCATAGTTGAAAGGACAGAATGGCTACAGTTATCTCTTGGGTATATTAAATAGCTTAATCTAGAGCCCACTGTGAATGATCTGGCAGGATCAAGTGATTAACCCAGAAATTCTGGAATCCTGCCCGAAGATGTTCCATAAGTGGCACATTAACAGCTGAAAAGTGTGCATATAATGAGAACAGCCAAGTGTCTGCTGCATAGAAAATTTGTGTCAAATAATTGCAAGTGGTGAGGTCAGTAAGTTGACAGTAAGGATTCCTGAAACCGAGTTAGATGATGTGGCTGAGCTATATATTGTTTTGAAATAACGGCTCAAGAGAGGTGACCTTACCTTGTAATGGGAGCTCTTTTTAAGTGAAAAATTTTAATCCTGTGTAGCCTTCTAAGCTGAGTGGCATATTCTGGCTAGAAGCTAGAACTGCAGTGAAAAGGCATGTGCAAATTTAGAGCTCGGAAAGAATATAAATTCAAAATACAGCCAGCTCTTGACCTCTTCATTCATTCCTCCCGTGTGCCATACAATCATGTGCGTGTCCCCTTCACCTCTGTTTTTATAATTTTAAATAGTGCTATATTCACACAGTTAACAAAGACTTGAATTATTTGCACTTCTGAGTGAATAGCTGTTATTTTCAGCCCGAAGAAGGCTGCTTATGTATTGTATTTGACTTTCTAAGTTTCATGTTTGATTCCCAATTATTTTACTTCACATTAGGAAATATTTATATCATAAAAACCTAACACCATTAGCTTTTCTTTTGCAGTACAACAGTTATGAGGATGATAATGTTAGTAATATCAGACTCTCTTATATCCATCCATTTTTCCTGTCATAAGGTCCTCCAGGGCACGGTTTTTTGTCTTTCTTTCTCTTTGTGCCTGACCTGCATTGCAATGTTTAGTTGGTGCTTCTGACTGACATAGAGGGTATAATGTTAACTTTAAAGTATGAGATTAATTGGATAGCCCTTCACCCAGGACTTTATATACAACTATCTCTGTTTCATTATTAAAATCTTTCAAATGTCACCTCCATACAGAAGTATTTTTGGTTCATGCTCTTGAGAGCATTAGCCCTGTYACAAGTCTCCTTTTGTCTGTTCTGTTCCTTTTCTCCTGCACACTAGTATAAGTTCTTCAAGAATGGCAGTTTTCACTTTATGGCCAGACCAGTGCCTGACATAGCAGGTGCTTGATATGTATTTGTTGAGTGACTGATTTTTGGTCTCTTTATTTAATTTTAACTTTTGAATTATATTTGTATTGATATTTTTTCCTATTCTTTTTCAGTTTTTTAGAAACCTTGGAATTGGCAGATGACATGGCCATTGATATTCCCCATATTTGGTTATACCTTGCTGAACTGGTGACCCCCATGTTAAAAGAAGGTGGAATCTCTATGAGAGAAGTTATCATGTAAGTTATATTTATTTTGGATGTATATCAAGTTAAACTGACAGAGAACTCACCTGCTGATTTTCTAGCATAATATTGTCCCATTAATGGCTCTGGAGACTCTTAGATACAGCCTGTGACTCTTTTAGACTTCTAATTTTATTTTGAAAATTTTACTAGATTTACACTAGAGACAGATTGAGGATATGATAGCCCTGTGGTCCATTGGGGGTAGCAGTGATTATTGATAATGCTCTAGTTATGTCACTGGAAGATGATTGCTTCTAGAAGCTTAATGTTAATCTGGCTGTTGTATCTATCATTGTTTCAGTTGTTGTCAGAATTTACATTGTAGTTTGTCATACTGGTACCTGCATAGTACATGTTCATGGGTATAATAAAAGTATTGCTAGATTTGCATGTGTGGGGGGAAGGGATACTGCATTATATAGACCAGTACTTCTGTTCTTCAAAACGTAGTATTTCCCCCACAAACTGTTGATATATGAAAATCTGACTCCGCATACTGTTATGTATGTCCCCACCCCAGCATACCCCCTTTATTTTTTGGAGATGCACAAAGTATATGTATTGCGGCACATAATTCAAGCGTATGTATGAGAATCCTATAATAAAACAAAACAATAAAAATGATTTAGCTTGTTTAATTCAGCATTACCTCACACAATCAATGAAAGAATCCTTTACTTTGAGGAAATAGTGGAATCATTGCTATCCTATGGAATGCAGTTTGGGAAATACTAATTCAGACTAAAATAATTGGTCCCTTTCTATTTCATCCATATTCTTAAGAAAAGCTTTTCTTTTTACAATACTTTATAACTAAGCTTCACAATTCCATTACCTACAAAGGTACTTCTCCACTTTCTGCTTGAAGTGGAACTTATGTAAATAGATTACTAAGTGAGATTGATCTTTGTGTTGCTTCTGTCACTGAAGTGGCTAAAGAAAAAGACAAAACCCAGGAATTCTAACATCCCTTTTCTGCTTCTCCAGGAAGCATAAGGTGACCCTAAAGYCTCCAAAAGCCTTCTGCTGAAAAGGACTTGGAGCATGTCCTAGAGCTTTGACCCTGCTGACTTTTATTTAGGTTACAAAGTGTCTATTTGTTTGACACACATTTTTGCTTACTACTTTAGCACAGAGAATTTCTTCAGAGGTACTTAATCACTGCTCCTATCTTTTACAGAGAATTTAGCAAACCTTTACTTCCTGTTGGAAGAGCTGGGGTCTTGCTTTCTGAAATATTGCACCTTCTATGCAAACAAATGGTGAGTGTTCAACTGAGTGTCAGACTCAATAGCATGTTAGAAAGGGCAGTGATCTTGATCGTGTGTTTTCTGTGAACACCTCAGGTCTCAGTGTACAAATAGTTCCATTTCCTTTTAGCCTTTGAACAAAGTGAGGGCTCTGCTTCAACCTTGTTTCCTTCACAGGTGTATTGTCCTTCTGTTTACCAATGTCTTGGGAAAGAATTTTCTAATCCTAACTAGATTTAGTATAGTTCTAAAGAATCTTAAGACATATTTTATTTGTGGTTGGTAATTTTTCAATGAAAACTGCTCTGCTTTTAGAGTAAGATAGGATTCGTAGAATGATTAGTTTTGTTAACTTTTGGGTCATTTGCATACAAGTCTGATTAAAAAGAATTGGTAAAAAAGACTCTGCAGGATGGTGAATTTCTTAAATTCACTTTAGTTAAATATGTAGTGAGTGCATGGTTATTCTCTGCAAAGCTGTCTGCTTGGCTCTCAGTCTACTAAGATTAAACTAGAGAGGGAGATGGATATATCTAAACTAATTATGTCAAAAGCATGTGGAGGTGCTCTATTAGAGGTCAAAGAGGCTGAAGGATGTGTTGTGGCATCCAAAGGGGGATGAAATGTCTAGGAAGAGAGATGTCAGAACAAAACAGAACTCACAAATGAACATTCTGCAGTGATTTCTAATGTACTCAAACCCAAGCCAGAGATATTGGTATGTTTGATTACAGAGTTTCACAGATACTGAGGGTTTTCATTTTTTTTTTTAAGTCAACGTTCATCTCACTCTGAACCTGCAGAAGTTCTTCTGTACCCCATTTGTGTAGTAGTTATTCATAGACAGATGCACTCCTGGCTCTGCTGATTATTTCTATTAATAATATTCTTTAGTTAATGATGCTAAAATTTTTTATTTTACTGAACTCTGTAGTTTTTATGTTTGTAATTCCCTCCTTGTCTATAGTCTTTATTTAAAACTCAAACTCTTCTTAACTTTTATTTTTATAAAAAGAAAACAAATTTCTACTTATAAATTAAACCATATTTTCTTAGGCCATAAACTCTGAGCCAGAGAGCCTGATTTCAAATCCTGGCTGTATCAGGTTATCAGCTGGACCTTGGCCTATTTACTCTATGGAATAATTTATACATCTTCTTAGATGCCAGCTGCAACCTCAAAACATTTTCCTTTATCGTAGTCTCTGTCCAGGCAGTGGGCTTGCACCTCCTCATGTTTTCCCAGCTGATAACAGCTTTGCTCTATTGTTTCTTGGGCTCAACCTTGCACTCCTTGCCCACAAAACACTTCTTATGCCTAGTTCAGGAGCAACAGGTGCCTCTTATAACAGGAAGTATAAATGTGATCTGCAGTGGAGAGGGATTCCAGTGTGGCTTGTGAGTGGCTCTAAAAGCAGGTACATGTACAGAGCCATCTATCTTTCCATCTAGAAAACAGACAGTGTTAAATTTATAAACCTGCATGTATTAGACTCTTTAATGGTCATATTAATAAATCCCAAATACCAGTTTAATGTTTCCCAGATTAGTCATCTGATAAATTATTGAATCTAAATAACTATACTTCAAATATTCACCATTATATTTGTATACATTCAAACTTCTTATTTTGAAAGTCAAGAATCCTAAGAGATTAATGTCATATTAATAAGGAAAGGTTTTCATTTCACTCTTTTTTTTTTTTTTTTTTTAGATCCTGGGGATTGATCCCAGGAGTACTCTACCACTGAGCTACATCTGCCACCCCTTTTAAATTAGATTGTGAGATAGGATCTTGTCAAGTTGCCAGGTTGGCATTGAACTTGAGATTCACCTGACTTAACCTCCCAAATCACTAGGATTATACCCATGCACCACTGTACTTGGCTCATTTTTTACTCTTTAGGGTTCTACCTCCTTGACCTCAAGCAAGCTTTTCTTCTTCTTCTTCTTCTTCTTCTTCTTCTTCTTCTTCTTCTTCTTCTTCTTCTTCTTCTTCTTCTTCTTTCGTCTTTCGTCTTTCGTCTTTCTTCTTTCTTCTTTCTTCTTTCTTCTTCCAATGTAAAAATTAATGAATTGGATTTATGTCTCTTTTAGAGCCATAAGAAAGTGGGCGCCTTATGGAGGGAGGCTGATCTCAGCTGGAAGGACTTTTTACCTGAAGGGGAAGATGTACATAATTTTCTCTTGGAGCAGGTGGGTAAGAACAAGACTTATATCTTTTTGTTGTTGTTTGTACCAGAGATTAAACCCAGTGGGGCTTAATCACTGAGCCATATTCCCAGCCCTTTTTATTTTTTATTTTGAGACAGGATATTGTTAAGTTGCCTCGCTAAGTTGCTGAGGCTCGCTTTTGAACTTGTGATCCTTCTGCCTTAGTCTTCCAAGCTGCTGGGATTGTAGGCATGTGCCACTGCCCTAGGACTGTCTTCCATATGATAGCAGTTGGTCTGTTTCATAGAGKAAAGGAAGATAATTTCATTAGTATTCTGGTATTAAGATTAGATCAAAATAATAATCTTAGTTAAGAAATCATCTTAAGTACATGTTTTAAGGGCACTCTCCAACTGTACAGTCATTAGAGGAAARATAAAAGGTATGGAGAAATTTTAAAAGACAGCCACACTTAGAAAATGAGCTAAATAGCCAGGCACAGTGGCACACATCTAGAATCCAACTATACAGAAAATCACGAGTTCAAGGCCAGCCTTAGCAATTTGAAGCCCTAAGCAACTTAATGAGACCCTTTCTCAAAGACAGAATAAAAAGGACTGAGGAGGTAGCACCCCTGTTTTCAATCTCCAGTACCATATCTCTAAGAACCTGAAATGAAACTGATAAGTAAACCAGGGTGATAGTACTAAAGAAGATCCAGGTGTACTGAGCTCTGGGCCTGGGAAAGGCAGAAGAAGCATGAAATACTCTTTTGGTAATGGAAACTAGAATGCCCCTTACCAGATAGAGGCCTGGAGATAGGTCTACACTACTTGAAACTTCACAAATAAATAATTTCAAGAAAGTGGAAACAATCATAGCAGTAGTACCGTAAGCTGGCCTGCCTGCAATCTTGATAACTGGATCCAGAAATCTACAAGGTAGAGGACTGCAGGACTGATTTAGTCTGGCCCTAAACAAGTAATTTGGGAGAAGGGAGAGTGGTCTGGGTAGAGGTAACTATAAAACTCTGTTAGACCAAGGAAGATGAGAGAGAAAGAAAACAAAACTCTCTCAAAATGATCTTGCAAGTCAAAGTAGTTGAACAGTTGAGGAAGACTAAAGCTAAGGAAGGTAGTAAATCAGCAGTAAGAAGAAAACAATCACTATAGGTAAAAAAGAATAAGAAAGTAATCAGAAGATGACCTTAAAATAAATGTATCAAGCTGGGCATAATGAAACACACCTGCAGTCCCAGCTACTCAGGAGGCTATGGCAGAAGGATCATTTGAGCCCAGGATTTTGAGGCTAGCCTGGGCAACATAGCAAGACCTATCTTTGGATATAATGCAATGGGGGTATAACTCTGTGATAGAGCACCTCTGGGTTCAATCCCTAGTTCAGAAAACAGTAAAGTAAGTATATTGTTGTGGATAAAGACAGCGTACTAGGTTGCCATGGTAGCTTTCATTTGGGTTGGTAGGTAGCTTTCATTTGGGTTGTGGAAATAAATGGAGGAGCTACTGCCAAACAGTAGGAACCTGTGGAAAGCACAATTTCTGATGCACTATTGGGCTCCCAGAAAGTAGACAAATTCTCTTTCAAGAGATTAAAAATAAGAGGAGGGGAGGAAAAAGCCAGAGACGAAACCTGAATTCTGAGCAGTAAGCACATGTGAATACCATGTTGCCCGAAGAACAAATGCCAGAGATTGTGGAAGAAGCTGAATTGATTCAGTTCAGCATTACCCTGGCTCTAGAAAGAGCAAGCCACAGTGCTCTTTAGAGAAAACATCCTTAACATTGGTCTGCCCCCATACTTTTTTTTTTTAATATTTTATTTACATTTTAGTTTTCAGCAGACACAACATCTTTGTTTGTATGTGGTGCTGAGGATCAAACCCGGGCCACACCCATGCCAGGGGAGCTACCGCTTGAGCCACATCCCCAGCCCCTGCCCCCACACTTTTTATCCCCCCACAAATACACATTACCTAATATATGGCTTAACCCTTGTAGAGTTCATGTAGTGTACAGTGAAATGAGTCACCATGAATGAGATCGAATAAATAAGCAGAAAGTGGTAGATTTAGACTCCARTGACTTGAAGTAATGAAATTATCTATCAGTCAGAATATAAAATATCTCTATATAAAAGAGAGGGAATCTCCAAAATGAGCAATCAAGAAGCCACTAATCAGAACAACTGGAGAGGTTTTAAAAAGTGAATACAAAAATTAGCTGGGTGTTGTGGCACACTCCTGTAATCCCAGCCACAAGGGAGGCTGAAGCAGGAGGATTGCAAGTGCAAGGCTAGACTCAACAACGTAGCGAGACAGTGCCTCAAAAGTAAAAAATAAAAACTAAAGAAAACTTTACAGTACAAGTTTGTTGCCTTCTTCCTTAAAAAGTCACTAATTTTGGAATGGATGATGCTGGGGATTGAACCCAGGGATGCTTTACTGCTGAGCTACCTGAGCTATAGCCCCTGCCTTTTTTTTTTTTCTTTTTCTTTTTTTTTGAGACCTGGTCTTACTAAATTACAGAGGTTAACCTCAAACTTGCAATCCTCCTGCTTCTGTGTTCCAAGTGGCTGGGATTACAGGTGTGGACCACCCCACCTGGCACCAGTAATTTTGATTATAGACTTGTTGTTAAAGAAATAGTATTGCCCAGTCTGGCCCCAAACTCYGGGTCTCGAGTAATCTTCCTCTCTCAGCCTCCTGAGTAGTTGGGACTGTGGTGTATACCACCAATGCCAGGTTTACGGAATTTTTTTAGAACTACCTAAGAGTTAAACAATTTATCGGATCATTTTCACACTTGGATTCAGAATAGTCTGGAGGTATTTTAAGAATTTAAAGCCAAAACATGTGGTATGACAGCTCAATAGTGATACTAATATTGAACCAGTGGTTACATACTGAATGGGAGTTAAATTATGCCCTTGCCTAGGACTCACACCCAGCTTTAAAGAGCTGTGTTCCTACCCAAGATTGAAATTCGTAATGATTTGGAGGTAAGCATATCCTGAGGGGCAATTATAGCAAGCTTGTTTGTTTGCCTATTTTTATTTTTTTAACAGAGAATCTGATAAAACTTACGAAAAATTAGAGAAATCTTTTTTTTTTTTT